TTGCTGTGGGGTTTTGAAGTGTTGCAGGGTTTAGCTGTTGATAATGCTCTTGATTTGAGTTCCTTGTCACTTCATAAACTGGCATTTCATGGCTGCTATGTGTTGAATGACTTGAAGCTATAGCCATTCCAATGGCGCCAGCATTCTGTTAATTATTTTAAGTACATTTGAAAGACATTCTGTACATTCTGTCCTATTTCTAGCCCTATACACAAATTTATTATCCAATTTGTTAATGTTTCTTACTTTATTTACCACGTTAAAGTGCATATGACACGATTTTTTTTATTTGAAAAATAGAGTCAATAGAACAAGCATAACAGGTTGGCTAATTACCACTCGATGCAGGGCTTCAAATTTCAGAGAAAATCGGAGTTAAAAATCCATTATGCTAATTTGATGACGTCACTGTGGTTGCTCTAAAACATTTCAACTGTGTTTTGTAACAAGTGTTCCTAATATACCTATGTCAAACTTTGAAAGATTGTTTTTGATTACATAACAAATATCTTCTACAAAACAATAAGGTGTCAATAAACAATCGGACAATTTTGTATAATTAACGAGTTACACTTTGACGTCACCAAATTAGCATAAAATCCATTTTTCTCTGAAATTAGAAGCCTGCATCCAGTGGCACTTTACGGAACTATTATTTTCTTCATATTGATTTTATTTTCAAAACAAAAAAAAATCATGTCATATGCACTTTAAACCTTCAACAAATTAATTAAAATCAATACTTACGGYATACACAGCGTCGCTTTTTCTGAAAAAAGGTGAAGAATCTTTTACTGTTTATAGTGTAGCGATTCAGAAGACTCATCGTAATGTTGCCCAAAATCTGTATTTAAAGTTTATATCGTTCTTTCTCTGTTTCCCAACCATTCTCTCTAACACCCCTTCAATTAAGTACTTACTGTTCTTGTTTTGTGTTTTGTGGGTTTCTCCTCCTATGCTTCCAGAAGATGAAAGCTAAAAGTATGAAGATGGCTATCAAAGAAATAGTAAAGAATGCAGCCAGTACACCAACTGTAGTAGTGTCTAGATTACAAAATAAAAGGAAAGCTGTTAATTCTATACCTGTTGGCAGTGAACCCCAAAAAATAACGGTATTGTCCTTTTTTACTTTACTTATTATAATTCTTACCATTACACTGTAATGACTTGCTTTTTGCTCCTATGAAATGCAAAACCAGATATAAAAATCAGTGGCGGATCCAGGATGGGGGGGTTCCGGGGGTTCCTCGGAACCCCCCTCGAGCATTAAAAGAAAGATAAATGAAATGTGATTGTCTTTACAATTGCTACAGTTCGAGAAGCACCGTTAAAAAGTTCGTTTTAGGAAAATGCGAAAACAAAGTGAGCCCCCCCTTTGAAAAATCCTGCATGGGGCAGAATGAGCGGACATTTTCCGGTTGAGTGACCGCGGCAGTAGCGCCAAWTTCAAATGTCAAGCCTGGTTGAGCGCACCGATTTACAAAGAAAAGCGGCCAAAATGACGAAAGTGGTCATATAAAAACTCAATTTTCGACAAACCTAAAGCCTAAATAAAAAATGTAACACCCGGCTTTTGCAGATAAAGGCTTAAACTAACATTTTCGACAAACGGAATGAAAATTTGTAGGCATTTTCCATGATCAAATCGCTCACGAACTTTTGCTTATTTTTTATCGGAAATGGGTGAAAACGGTGTAGACTAGTGTATGGTTTCGCTTATATCTTCTTTCAAAATCAAAAATTAAAAAATGTAACACCCGGCTTTTTTAGTTAATTGTCCAAAGTCTGTATGTGCAAAAGTTTGTTTAGATCCATAAAGAATTTCCTTGATCAAATTCGACTTAAAGTTTTTAATTAGAAAATCTTATGCAAATAAGTAAATTTGAAAGTTAATGAGAAGTTTGATGGCTTTTGAAATTTACCGCCACAAGATTAAGCTCCGCCTCCAAATGANTAAAATAAATTAGTTTTTCTAAAATCGTTTGTGTCAGGGCCATGACAAACATCGTATGGTTGACGTACTTTCGCCAACATTGAAATTTGTGGCAACTTTAAAAATTAATTTCTCAAAAGTGCGGCACTTTATTTTGAAAATTCTTTGATATTATAATTCTTTGAAGGTTTCTTGTTGATATAAAACAATCCTAAATTTGGCACTTTCATTTGCTGAAATTTTGTAGGCAGTTAAAGTTGTACGGTTTCATACGTCTCTTAAACAAAATTTCCATAATTGGAGCGAAAATTTCTCACTTAAAGCCACTATATAAGTACTAATTCACATTTTTGCACTATTCACAACTGGTGTAGCCATGACCTCTGATAATACAGGCTACAATGCTTTCTTTCAAGGTCGTACGATCAGGTTTCAAGTATGTCAACAAATATTGCGTGACTTCCAGTGTGACATCCATCACGTATTTTTACTTGAATATTCATACAATGTATTTTTCCATTGTGCTTAATTTATAGGGGATTTTAAAGTTTTATAGCTTTTTTACATACATAGTAATGTTTTTATTTTTATGGAAAATCATTGGCCTTAGTTTAAGTGATACATAATTATTAATTTTTGCTCCTGTCGTTAACTGTCAAGTAGCTGCAAGTTAATTTATTAATAACTTATTTGAACAGCTTACGATTACTAGTTGAGGCAAGCTAACTTGGTAAATGCCCATTAACACATCTGCTAGACCAGTCAACGAATATTTATATCGTTTTCAGGGGCGGATCCAGGATCAGGGGGGGCGGTGGGCGCCGAAGGCGCGATTTTTATAGGGGGGGTCCGGAGGCATGCGAAGTTGACTCTTTAACGTTTAGAACTTGATGTCGTCACAGTATAGTCGAGCTCTGATCATCGATTTTTAAATCTTATCCATTTTATTTACTATTTATTTTCCGGAAGCAAAAAGTGAGGGGCGCGGCCCCCAGCGCCCCGTCTCCGCGACGGGATGAATTTTTTTTAGAGAGAGAGCTAACATTTAGAAGTAGGTATTATAATAACCTAAAAGTTATTCAAATAATTAAGAGAAACATTACCAAGACTAATTACGTGTTTCCTTTTTTTACCCAATAATTTACTATTTCCTAAGTTTGCATTATCATTTCATTCGAGTAAAGGGGGGTGACTAGTCACCTCTATGCACCCCTGGTTTTATCGATTCAAGAAAAAAACTAGAAAATCCCGGGGAGAACTCCGGAGTAAAAGTACCGTGGGTGTTCGTCGAATCTTTTAGGGAAAAAAAAACGTGAATGTAAATCTTTTAGGGTGCCAATATGGAGTTTTTGAAATTTGCATTTTCTGCAATCTCTTACGGTGTCGGAAAAGAAGACAAAGAGCGCATCGATATTGATTTTCCTCGCGTTTTGTTTTGACATTAAATATTTTATACATTTTATGAATAGTTTATACATTTTATCATTAGAACTGATGTAACAATGTTTGTTGTGCAATCTTTAAGGGGTTAAAAACCAGTAATCCAAGCCATTTTTTCAAGACTTTCATCTTTTACTGGGTATTCCATCATATACTCCATCCGAATGACCAGACATTACGTCCCTACTGTGCTCTATTTTCAACCGTTTCAATGAAATCATGCACTGTGGAAGATCCTGCTTCCCATGGCAATTTTCTCCGCAACTTGCAATATGTTTTGGCTAACAGAAAGTTAGGTGATACGCTGTGCAATGGCATTGCTAGTTGCTGGAATGTACTGCAAAAGGAAAA